GAGCAGTCCGGTCCTGCCCTGCCAGGAGGTACCCACTGCTGTGGGGGAGATGGCAGCTTGGCACAGGCTTCCCCGTGGAGGGATGGGGAATGGGGTAAGGTTGGCATTAGGAGATGAGCTCCTGGGTGCCTTGTCCCCATGCCACGGGGCGAGGGGGACTCCTTGTCCAGGGTGGGGTATGGTGGTGTCACACCCCTTCCTTGCCCTGCCCTGATTTCCTTGCTCCTCCATCCATGCATCCCTCCATGCATCCATCCATCCCCCCATCCATCCATCCATCCATCCATCCGTGCAGGCATGCATCCATGCACCCCTCCATCCATGCACCCCTCCATCCCGGCCCTACTGAGGCCGGCTGTCCCCTGGGCTCGTGGTGACCCCGTCTCCCCGGCCCAGGCACGTGGAACGGCACCACAAAGGTGGCGGTGAAGACGCTGAAGCCGGGCACCATGTCACCCGAGGCCTTCCTGGAGGAGGCTCAGATCATGAAGCGGCTGCGGCACGACAAGCTGGTGCAGCTCTACGCCGTGGTGTCAGAGGAGCCCATCTACATCGTCACCGAGTTCATGAGCCAGGGTGAGTGGGGGGCACTGCCCAAGGGACCCCCCAGCTTTTCTTCCCATGGTTCTTCTGGAAGTTTCACCCCTCCTGGGCACAGCCGGGGTGGGCAGGGAGCTGGTCCCAAGGCTGGGGGTTTGCAGGGAAGGGCACCCTTGGGTGGGCATGGATGGTTCTCAGGCGCTTTGACCGGCACCCTCTGCCCGCAGGCAGCTTGCTGGATTTCCTAAAGGATGGGGACGGTCGCTACTTGAAGCTGCCCCAGCTGGTGGACATGGCTGCCCAGGTACCGGGGAGGCTGGCACGGGGTGGGGGTGCCCCCCAGGGTGTGCATCCGGGGGGTCCTCATTGCTTCCTACCCCCTCAGATCGCGGCAGGCATGGCCTACATTGAGCGGATGAACTACATCCACCGGGACCTCCGCGCAGCCAACATCCTGGTAGGAGACAACCTGGTGTGCAAGATCGCTGACTTCGGCCTCGCCCGCCTCATCGAGGACAACGAGTACACAGCGCGCCAGGGTGAGCCGGCTTGGGGCCCCGCTACTGGGGGGACCGCTGCCCTGTCCCCTCCGTGATGTGTCCCACCCTGGGCCTGGGGGTGGCCACCCCAATGCTGGGTGTCCTGGGCGATGGGTGCCCCAGGTGATGGGTGCCCCAGGGGACGGGTATCCTTGGGGGGTGGATACTCCAGATGAGATGATGGGCACCCTGGCTGATGGGTGTCCCAGGAGATGGGTAACCTAGGGGGTGGATACCCTAGGGGGTGGATACCCCAGGGGGTGGATACCCTGGATGATGGGCACCCTGGATGATGGGTACCCCAGAGAACGGGTGCCCCAGATGATGGGTACCCCAGGGGATGGGTAACCTGGGGGGTGGATACCCCAGATGATGGGCACCCTGGCTGATGGGTGTCCCAGGAGATGGGTAACCTGGGGGGTGGATACCCCAGATGATGGGCACCCTGGCTGATGAGTACCTCAGGGAATGGGTGCCCCAGATGATGGGTAACCCAGGTACAGGGTGCCCCCAGTGCAGGGTGCCCCATGTGTGGGGTACCCCAGGCAGAGAGGGCCTTGGGTGCTTGGTGCCCCCAGTGCCGGGTGTCCCAGTGCAGGATCCTCCTGGTGCAGGGTACACTGGGTGCAGGATGCTCTCCATACAGGGTGCTCCAGGTGTAGGGTGCCTCTGGTGTAAGATGCCCCAGGGGCAGGGTGTCCCCAGGGCTGGGTGCCCCAGGTGAGGGGTACCCGGGGTGTGGGCACAGCGGGGTGCCCTGGCCATGGCTCACCCGCCCCCCCTTGCAGGTGCCAAGTTCCCCATCAAGTGGACAGCCCCGGAGGCTGCGCTCTTTGGGAAGTTCACCATCAAGTCGGACGTCTGGTCCTTCGGCATCCTCCTGACTGAGCTGGTGACCAAAGGCCGGGTGCCCTACCCAGGTACAGGGCAGCGGGCACCCTTGGGGCGGGCTGGGCAGCGGGGGGCAGACAGGGCAGGGGCTGGCCCTCCCCAGCACTGCCACCAAAAAGGCTTGCCTTGTGCCTCAGTTTCCCTATCCAAACCACGGGGCAATACCACCATGTCCCTCAGTGTGCCTCAGTTTCCCCACTGGCTTGTCCCATGGGGGTGCTGCTCGCTGAGCAGGGGGTGTCCTTGTCACACAGGGATGAACAACCGGGAGGTGCTGGAGCAGGTGGAGCGGGTATACCGCATGCAGTGCCCGGGCAACTGCCCCCCGTCCCTGCATGAGGTGATGGTGCAGTGCTGGAAGCGGGAGCCCGAGGAGCGCCCCACCTTCGAGTACCTCCAGTCCTTCCTCGAGGACTACTTCACCGCCACCGAGCCCCAGTACCAGCCGGGGGACAACCAGTGACCTGGCGCTGGCACCCCCCAAGCTGGGCTCTGAGGTGGCTTTTGGGCAAATCTCCCCCTTTTTGCAGGGTGGTTGTTGCTCGCTTCGCCT